TTTTTTTTTTATTAAAAAAGTAATATAAAATACAAGGCGTTGGTTTAACCAATGTAGGCCAAACTCAAAATTTTATTAAAAAAAAAAAAACTTCTGCTGCCGTCTATCGTCAATGTCACCAACTTCAACCCCAATTACCTAGCGCCGATAATTTTGTACACTTATTCTCAGTCGATAAATTAATGATTATCCTTACCAATAACATCGCTGCTGTTCCCCTAAAAAAAAATGCAATAAAAAAGCTCTCTACTTATTCAACTTACAACATAAAAAAATGAAAAAAAAAGTTTCTCAAACTTTAAATTAAAAAAAAAACTTTATTGAAGACAAAGCGCTTAAACTTGAAAAACTACGCCGATCGTTGCTCGAGAGATATCGTGAACGAAAGAAAACCAAAAAAAGTGTTTTTTTTTAATTACTCCAAATTTCCTAGTTTTATCAATTCAAACTTGAAGATTTTTCATTAAACTAATAATAGATTAGTATTCAACTAAGTAAGGAGCGAGACGAATTGAAAGGGGCGATTCTACCTGGACAAAGCAATTAAAACGCACATAACATTTGACAATTAATAAAGAGTCAGAGAATGACTTTGCAGAATTTTTGTAACATCGGCTTACAATAATTACAAGTAAAGTGTTTTGAAATTTATCTAATAATAGAAATATAATTTTTCAATTATATGCAGCATAAGAATAAGACGAATTAATTAAAAATCCATAGCTTTTAAATTTACACAGAAATATCATTTTAAGGATTTTTAAACGGAAATTTGTCTATCAGTAAGTATACAATTTTACAATGAATACATAGAAATAAGAGTTTCTTAATTAATTTTTAATTATTGATGTAAAAATTTTAAAACTAATTAATTTTTTTCTTTGAATAAAAATATAGTTCACTGAAAAAGTTTGAAGTTATTTCTCAGCGTTTGAATTTGAGTAGGTGCGCGCGCATGCTGCGCATGCGCAATACAATTTTCGACGCCAAGCAATATGGCGGATCAACAAAAGCATTACCTTGCGGAGAAAATTAAATAATTAAAAATTTATAGCACGTTAGGAGTCTACTGATTGACTTGTTTTATCCATTAGTTTTAACTATATACTACTACGAAGGATTTACTTATCTGTGTACTGCAGTTGATCATATATATTTGCTTAAAACCACAATTTTGACAGTTTTGTTATAATAAAATCCGAACAAAAACAGTTTCACTGTAAAAAAATCGCGCCAATTCCACGTTCATAAGACTATTAAGAAAAAAAAATTAGTTTTTTTCTTTACAAAAAGATATAAAATAAAAAAATTAAAAAGTCAGGATCGAAATTTTTGCATTGCTATAGTTTGTGCTTTATTTTTATTTTTATTTTATCGTTGCTATAAGTCGTTTATAATCTTATGTGAACATAAGAGCTTATGTAGAGAAAAAAAATTTACTATTTCATTAGGAGCAGCTAGCCAAGGCAGACCAGAGGACACCACATCACTAAAGTTAAGACGCATTAGTCATGATAAATACTTGGATGGGTGACCGCTAGTAAATTCGTATTCTAAGCTGCGAGCGATACCATTTTTTTCTTTTTAAGCTGTGTATTTATTTTTGTATTATAAAAATATTATCGTAAATAGCAAAACGTTCAGTGATTCTACTTATTAAAAATTAAATCGATAATTAAATTGAAAGGTATTTTTTTTTATTTTTGGGTAGAAAAGTTGATATCAAGTTATTTATCGTTGCTATAAGTCGTTTGTAATCTTATGTGAACATAAGAGCTTATGTAGAGAAAAAAAATTTACTATTTCATTAGGAGCAGCTAGCCAAGGCAGACCAGGGGACACCACATCACTGAAGTTAAGACGCATTGGTCATGATAAATACTTGGATGGGAGACCGCTAGTAAATTCGTATTCTGCGAGCGATACCATTTTTTTTTTTTTTTTTTTTCGAAGAAAATATATTTTAATGTACTTGATTGTCTTTAATTTAAGCTCTTTTTTAATATTAATTACAATTAAAACTTGAAAATCACCCTCTATGAACTATTTTTTTCTGGAGTCAGAAAGGGCTCTTAATTCTGACTTCTTGAAGAACTCTTTTTTTGAAGTCAGAAAAAAGAGCTCTTTAAGAACTCTCTCTATGAAGTCCTGATTCACTCTTTAGGTGGCGCATTGGACGTCCTCAAAACGTCTTGGAGACCTCATTTTGATCAAAATTCTGACGTCTAAATCTTAAATAAGAGTTCTTTGAGAACTGTAAAAGACGTCATATTGCTATCTGGGTTGGATCATTCTGTGGAAGAAATTTCTACTTTACGATTTTTGCGAAGTAAGGTCTTTATTTTGCCTCTTCTCAACTGGACTAATACATCGTCTAAAAAGTCCCGCATGGTTTACTAAGAGGGGGCAAAATTGAGGAAGTGGGGGGAAAAAAACCGAAAGTACCCGACGGCGACATACTGGACGGGACGACTAGTATATTAAGTCCAACTTTAGTCAGCCCAGATTTAGTAAAACTTTAGTTCGGAACACGTACAGAGCTCAAAATACCTTAAATTGAATAAATTTAATTGATTAATTGAATATTAAAAATGTCGGGAGTTTGTAAGTTATTAGTTATTGTTTTTATAATTAACATAACTACAGTTAAGTGTTATTATAATTCATCATGTTCGGAAATAGTATCCAACATACGACATCCGAAGAGAAATGATACATTAGTGAGAATTAAAATCCCTAATCCACCGAAGAATTTTCGACAGTTAACACTGAAGGTTCTTTATGAAACAAGAGAAAAATTTAAGAATGTAAGTATAATAAAATAAACGCATGGAAAATTCAAAAGTAAGGTAAAGGCACCAATTAGTGACAAGGATCCAATTATTGACACCCTATTTTATTTTAAATCTTATTTTATTATCTACAATATTAATAAAAATCGTTCACTTTTTTATACAATCACTATAATTTAGGAATTAATAAATTATGAAAAGTTGCTACAGGCGATTTCTCAGATAGCTTAACTTGAAGAGTCCTTGGTGCGTAACCAAAAGATCCGGGTTTGAATCCCGGTCCTGGTTAACCAAATTAATTTTTCTGTTTTCTGAGTTTAAGTGGATCAAAATTATAATTAAGCCTATATTTGACGAAAAATAGCTTAATTTAAGTAACTAATATTAGGGTTCAATATAATTTACCATTTTAGGTATAAGAACTTCAATTAAATAACGGTGATGCTATTTAAATTTTTCCTAGTTCAAAGAACTAGATTTTTCTCTTTATGTGGCCATTATTATAGTGACTAGATTATAATTTGATATTAAATAAAAAAATTTTCAGGATTACCACGGATTTATTAATTTAAGATGGCCACTAGCTGAAACTATGGACAGAATAACGAGTGGCAAATCATTGATCTATATCGTTCACCTTCCTATGCTGCTAAGAATTCCTCATATAATCTTCGTATCACTTAATGATACACCATTATGCATTATAAAAAAAGGTAATTATAAAACTTTTTACTTTTATTTCGTGAGAAGAGAATATACTAAAAGAATCTTCGATATTTTCAGATCCACTTAAAAGAGTAGTAGAATTGAAGCATAATCTGTTGCCTCCGCAATTCAACCCAGCTTCACTACCTATTATTTCAACTACAGAAGCGACATCAACTACTTCAACTACTGAAGCACCATATATCGATGAGATGCCGAAATCATCCGAGCCAGAAGGACCGGATACTTTTTTTAGGAAAGAGTTGGATGAATTGTCAAAAGGATGCGGTCACATAAATTCAGACGACAATTTTGAATTCAAGGATAATGTTAGATTGAGACAACGACAATGGCCATGGTTAGCAGCCATTTATATCAACAGCTCTACCTCTGAGTTTCACTGTTCGGGGACTCTTATCAGTGACAGGCATATCTTGACAGGTAAATAAATTTGTTTTTCTAAAGATAAATAAACTTATTTTGCAATCTTGATGGAGATTAATTTTGGAGTTTCTTTTGGGGGCGCTGAAAATTAGGCGGAATATTGAAGTGAATCTTGAGTATGATGCATGATTTTAAAGCTTGAAGACCCTAATTTGAGATCCCATAGCCGAAGACATGAAAAAAAATTTTTGTTAAATTTTTTTCAAACTTCAAAGATAAAAAATAAACTTTTGAATAATTTGTTCTAATCATAAAAAATGATCTTTTGTTTCAGCTGGTCACTGTACCTATTATAACGACCGCAAACTAACCCCGAACCTCTTGGTCGTATCCTTGGGTCGCTACCGATTGGACGATTGGGAGGAACCATTGTCCGACAACTACGAGGTGTCTTCAATCGATGTCCACCCCGACTACAACTTCGGCTTAACTTCCGAAGCCGATCTCGCCATTTTAAAACTCTCCAGAAGAGTTCGCTTCAGGCCGACTGTCCGTCATCTGTGCATTAAGACGGACTTCGAACAAGGGTTCGGTCCAACTGAAGAACTCGGGTACGTCGCTGGGTGGGGAGACAAGACTCTAGCTTCAAAGGAAAACCGAGAAATCGTCGAGGAATCTTCAGTTGCAAAGTTGCACGTAGCTCCGATAATTTCTCCGGAAAAATGCGTGAACGAGACACGAAAACTTGAGAAATTCATCACTGACAACACTTTCTGTGCCAGGTCACCAAATGGCGTCAGCGGTCCCTGTAATAGCGACAGTGGCGCTGGCCTCGCTGTTGCCGTTTTCCAGAAGTTTTACCTACGGGGTGTCGTTTCGATGTTGGCTGTCGGTAAAACAGCTCTTGATTGTGATCATAAAGATTTTGTGGTCTATGTCGATGTGTATACATATACGTATTGGATTTTACTGAAAATCTTTGAAGAATAACTGCGTGAAATGATTAATATTAAACTTTTAAGGTCTAAAATACGTTTTTAGTATTCTTAATTTAAATCGTTCATAATATTCTTAAATCTTAAAATTTACACGGAAAGAACAAGATGACACTGGATACCATCTCAGATTATACTCAGTGACATCTAAGGTGAAAAAAATTTTCAGATGGTAGCTAGTATAATCCAGATTATACTGAATAATATCTGGATTATACTCATTGTAATCTGGATTATACTAGCTACTATCTGAATTTTTTTTCACTCAGTATAATCTGGGATTATATCCAGTATAATCTTGTTCTTTCCGTGTATGTGCATAATAATCTTTTTATATTTTAATATAATTTATATTTTTTTAATTTATAATTTATAATTTATATATTTAATTTAATGTTGTTTTAATAATCCCGACAATTAGTGATAAGTAATAAAGAAAAAAAAAATTAATTAAATGCTTCAATTATTTATTTGACATATTTCGTAATCCTTAGTATCAAAGTCGTCTATAAATACATTAATTGCTTGCTAAATCCATTAATTACTGGTCGTAACATTAACAGCGGGAGCAGGGGGAGAAATGTATACTATACATTGTATAGTGATTCTTTTCGCGCCTTAAAGCACTCCATGAACTTTTCCACGACTTTTTTTTCACTTTCAGCCTCTGAAAAATTGAAATTAAGTTGATGATTATGAATTGGTACTTAAATTTTTAAGTCAAAGTTAATGAGAGTATTAATTATTATCACAGTCACAAGAATGTTAAATTAATTTTTTTCAGGAAAATGTCTGATATGGTAAAACTTACTTTCGTTGGAACAGTCTCTCACAATATCAATTACTGCGGTTAGATTTATATTTTTGGCTCCAGATGTTTTTTTTTCTTGTGTGATAACTTGAGTATAAAGATTTACAATTGCATCTTGATTTAAAGTGAACTCAATCTGAAAAATTATTATCATTATTATTTATAATAATGATAATAATAATACTCCAAAAATGGACAAATCGTACATAAATTGCACTATAATTAATTTTTTTTTGCTTACGGTTGGAGAATAATTGATTAGTAGCTGTCACTATAGTAAATAACGACTTTCTCATCTTAAAAAATTACAGTTTTAAACAGTAAAACAGATCTTGAGCAAATTTTGAGCAAGTCATGTGTAAGTGTCTGTTGTTAGTTTCTGATTCAAGAAATGCGTCAGAAAGTATTTCAATGCACCTTGCATTACACGGAAAAAAATTTCTGGGAAAATTTACGATACAACTATTGTAAAGCTGGACTATACTTTTATTACTATTAATTTTCAAATATTTTAGAAGAAAATTTACTATTTATCCATGAAATTTTACAATTTACGATTAGAAAAAATACGATATTACTATTGTAAAATGTAAGAATTAAAATTTCCAGTCCTGCCTCTGTATCTTTCCAATAAAACTATAACAAATTTTACAATAGTTGAATTGAAATGTTTGTCAATTAGTGTGAGCGATGGCCGTGCACAGCGCTAGACTCCGAGTTTATGTAAATGTTAAAGGACAGGGGTACTAGTTTACCTCGGATAGCGTAGAGGGAGAGTCTCTGGCTGCCAACAAAGAGTTCTGGGTTCGATTCCCGGGTAGGACGTAAATTCCGATTTCTTTTTTCGGTTACTGTATTGGTACCAATTAGTCCAACCTCCTATCTCTCTCCCTCCCTAAAATTTCTTTTAAAAAAACCGACTGTCAATTTTTACAATAGTTGAATTGTAAAGTTTACAAACACATATTGTATAATTTGCTCTATATTATTCGACTTTTTAAGTTTCTTGCTAGCCTTGCTTGTTGGATAAAATTTACAATAGTAGATCGTAAAAATTACTAAATGAGAAGTACAGTCCACCGTTACTATTTAATTTAGTAAAAATTACGATAGTGGAATAGTAAAAATTCCTTCAATTTTTTTTCCGCGTAGACTTGTCTCATATTCTTGCACAAAATGCCTTGAGCTAGTTATATATCAATCTTGAACCAGTTCTTTCTACATGAACCTAAGCAATACCCATATGTTGAAAAAGACACTAGCAACTAGGGGTTTTGCTCAAGACCTTGGTGCCTAAATCTTGCTCAAGCACATGTTACCCGGGTACTGTTTGAAATAGTAATTTTTTCCAGTTGATCATTACTTATTATAAATCGACTATTATTTACTACAGTCAACTTTTTTCCGTGTATATAATCATTATTTTATCAACGTTTGATGTTAAATTATTAGAAAATTAAAAATAGTACTAAAGTTATGAGTAAAAATACTAGTACAAGCGCTTAAGCTATGCACATTTGGATTTATCAAATTTTTTGCTTTTACTTACCAATTTCAACTCTTTGAACCAACAAGTTAGATTAACAGTTCCAAATCCCTCGATGGTTTGTGGATCCGTTTCATTATATGTCTGTTCCGATTCTGGTTGACTGTATCTACATTCATTAACTGCCGCTTCAAGAACAGGTTCAATATTATTTACAGGATTCTACAAAAATAATAATCACCCACTTTATCATAATAATCATTTAGTTAAAAATTATTAAATTAAAAATCATTAAATCATAAATAAAAAAAGAACATTATTAAAAATTATACAACTTACCGCACTGGTACAAGCAAACAAAACAATGCAGGCAAACAAGACCCAGGATGTAGCCGCCATGATTAGTTTCAGAATCTTTCTGTTCAATCAATAAATGTTTATCCAAAAAAACTTTATGTTGATTTGTAAAAAAAAATTGAGATTATATAGTACGCTTCTCAAAGTTTGTTCGAATTGGGCGGGTCTTAAAATCTTCCACGTTTTTAAAATTGGCCAATCAGAAAAAAATACATAGATGAGAATGTTATTTTTTACGAAAAATTAGACGAAAAAAAAAAAAGTTTTTTATTGCTATGACCTATTTTTAAATTTGTAAAAAAATAACTTAATTTGTTTTTAATTCCATTAGACTGTTGATCACGTGAACAATATTTTTTTTATCACTAAAAAATGTTATTTCATTTCGATGCTGCGGTAATTAATGAGAAATCAATTCCAATAACATTCTTTGTGTTTTGAAATACTGAATTTATCAATTTACACTGAGAGGAAAAAAAATTATTGTTTAAAAATAAATTATTTAAATTTATTAATTTTTTGACTAAAAAAAAGCTATTATACGTAGAGAGTAGTATGTAGTGAATTTTAATATAAATTAAATTTAAAAAAGAATACGTAAACTACACGGAAAAAAAATTAAAGGAATTTTTACTATTTCACTATTGTAATTTTTATTAAATTAAATAGTAACGGTGGACTGTACTTCTCATTTAGTAATTTTTACGATCTACTATTGTAAATTTTATCCAACAAGCAAGGCTAGCAAGAAACTTAAAAAGTCAAATAATATAGAGCAAATTATACAATATGTGTTTGTAAACTTTACAATTCAACTATTGTAAAAATTGACAGTCGGGTTTTTAAAAAGAAATTTTAGGGAGGGAGAGAGATAGGAGGTTGGACTAATTGGTACCAATACAGTAACCGAAAAAAGAAATCGGAATTTTCGTCCTATCCGGGAATCGAACCCAGAACTCTTTGTTGGCAGCCAGAGACTCTCCCTCTACGCTATCCGAGGTAAACTAGTACCCATGTCCTTTAACATTTACATAAACTCGGAGTCTAGCGCTGTGGACGGCCATCGCTCACACTAATTGACAAACATTCCAATTCAACTATTGTAAAATTTGTTATAGTTTTATTGGAAAGATACAGAGGCAGCACTGGAAATTTTAATTCTTACATTTTACAATAGTAATATCGTATTTTTTCTAATCGTAAATTGTAAAATTTCATGAATAAATAGTAAATTTTCTTCTAATATATTTGAAAATTAATAGTAATAAAAGTATAGTCCAGCTTTACAATAGTTGTATCGTAAATTTTCCCAGAAATTTTTTTCCATGTAGGCTACTGATATGAAATACGGACCCAGTTCATTGCATTCTTAAACTAATAAAAAAGGTCCGGTTTTGAAATATCAATTTGTTCGGGAGTAATCGTTGGTACATCCAAAATGGGGTGACAACAAGAAGTCTACGTAAAATTTTTTTCAAAACGTTTTTTTTTTTGAAAATACCCGGGAAAAAAAGTTTAGATCTGCTCTGATCAAATTTGATCTGAGCAGATCAGATTTGATCTGATCAGATCAGATTTGATCTAAATTTAGATCTAAGTAGATATGGACAGATCTAATTTGATCTGCTTAGATCAAACCAGATCAAGTTTGATCAAAATGAAATTGAAAAGTAGATATGAATAGATATATTCTGATCAAACTAGATCCACTT